CTTCATGTATTCAGTTTTGAATAGGTCCTTGAATTAGCTTGGTGTCGAATTGTTTTTCTTCTTCGTGTTACTTAATGGCTATAAGTTTACTAGTGTCAAGAAAAATTATCATTTTTGGCCTATTCTATTAAATTTAGAACTAGATTAACATAAAAATCATATCAATAGGAACCTAGTGTTGAAGTTCACTGAAAAACATTCATGTTTATTAAGTAGTTTCTTTTCATGTTTATAACTTAGAAATTACATTAAGGTATTCTGTTCTTTTCCATTTGCTGCTATGTGTGCTAGAGACATGCTTTAAGAATGGTTATCTTTTCTTAATGGCATTCGAAGAGTAAGATATTAGGATGCCATTAAGCTAATGGTTATCTTTCCTAAGGGGTTTGCATTGCCTTCATTGTCTTCTTAATATGCACGTTACGATATACGTTGGTAGTTGCAGTTCCAGCTGCCAAATCTCCCTTTGTCTTGAACTGCTTGCTGCTGTAAATAAACTGCAATGCCTTCCCATTCTCAATTGGGAATTCTTTGCAAAAAATGACAATAATTGATATTCATATAGTTACATAGGAATACATGATCTGTCGAATTATTAAAGGGGAAATAGAAACTTGATGAACACTCCAAGATGCAAAAATGAACACCACATGGCTATTGGCTATAGTTTAAATAGAACAATAGTTGAATCTAATTACCCTGCTATTAGTATGTTAAGCATGACAATGGTACCTACCGCAATTCCCGCAAGCTCTCCCACCTAGAGTTTGGCCTATGTTTTCCCAGTCGGTGCCTTGTCTTCATGATGATTTTTGCTTGTACCTGGACTATTGGACTGATCTGGTTCAACAAGATCAATACAAGAGTTGTGAGTAATAATATTTTTTTTTTGACAAAGAAAGAGTAATAATATTTTTACCTGTATGACTGTGACTTTTCTGGGAATCTGCCTGATCCATTTGTTCTTGAGGTGTCTTATGTCTCTCATAATTGTTTGTATTATTTTTGTTATTCTTCTTTTTTTGAGTTTGCCACTGTTCTTCCTGCTGATT